AATTTATGAATGCATGCAAGTATATGTGATGATATTGAAAATAATTATGGTCCGTTATGAAGACATTATTGTTGGACATAATGTACACTTCCTATTAAAGTATCATGTTAGGAAGAAGAGTCAATATAGTAGTACATGGAAGGGACTATGCCGACTTGATAGCATACAACCGCTATGACTCATGTTGATTTTATTTCTAATAATGAATTATGATGACGTCAATGTATGGAACCTTTAGCCTAGTAAATGCGCATTAAAGTTAATGTTAATTAAATCATGAAGGGACACCTTATGACATGAGCCAAGTGGGAGAATGTAAAACTATTTGTGTCTCATGTGTAACGTGTGTCAATCGGTTTAATTAAATAATAAAAGAGGCTTTATGGTAATTGACGTTTCGCATTAATGGTAATTGACGTTTTGACGTTTTGCATTATGGCAACGTTTCACATTAATGATAATTGACGTTTTAACGTTTTGCATTATGGTAACGTTTCGCATTAATGGTAATTGACGTTTTGACGTTTCGCATTAATGGGAAGTTACACGGAGTTAATTGAAATTCTGTAACTGGTGACATGGTTCAGTTATATAAAGTGAAAAGTGGTGAGTCTCTGATAATGATTTTTATCTCTCAGAATTCTCTCCTTCATGGTCTGCCCATAAAAGTTGTATCAGATCCCTGTCATAGACGATACAAGGAAAGCAGAGGGTAAAGACTCTGAGAAACAATCTTCCATCATCAAAGTTCTTCATCAAAGTTCTTCCGCACTAATGGAGAAAGGTACGCTCTTATGTGAAAATCATGAATTCTAAAGATCCTGTATCATGTTATTGAATGATCATTGTTGAACATGTATTAATGAATTACTGATGAATAGCTTACAATCTTTGTCAGGACAGTAGTTTCAGCAGGTTTTTGATTTGTTTTTATTTTTTTTATTACGATCTCATAATTTGAAAATGTTTTGATCTTTTTCTTTCTATTTACACCAACTTCTACTTCTAGGTAGTCTTGGAGAACACGACCGACCGATGTGCTACAAGGATGCAAAGTGGCTAGAAACTTGTAGTTAGGGGTGAAAGTGGGTTGGGCTGTGCTGGGTCAAGCTTTGCCTCAAAAAGTCCAAGTCAACGTCAAAAATTTTTAATTTGGCCTGACCCAAGCTTGGTACGAGTCTAACTGTTAGCCTGACTTGATCCGTTTATAAAAAAACAAATGGTCTGGCCTAGCCTATTAGCCTATTAATTTTTAACTTCCAAGTAGAACCATGAATCAACTTTACAAAATACTCAAATTCTGTTACTAAACCAAAAATCATAATTTCAATGTCCAAACAGAATCATGAATCACAACAAAACTCATACAATCTGCATTTAAGTCACTTTCAAAAGAAAAATACTCAAACTAAATAACATATATTTCATCAGATCCAAATAAAAAATGCATACTATGTAAATTAAAATAACTACATGAATCCAACAAACACATCATGATACTTGTAGTAAGTATAACCTTTCCCGAAAATCTTTTAATATATTCATATACACAATCTAACATGCTGAAATCTTGGTTCCTCCTATATAAGAAATAAAATCAGATTTTTATTAAAATATAATTGAATATAATTAACTTATAAATTGCAATTGATTAAATTTATATCTTTTTTTTTCAAGGCATACTTATTCTATTTTATTTTATTTAAGATAAATAGTACAATATAGGTCCGGCCTGTAGGCTTATAGGCCAGGCCTTGTGAAAGTGGACCTATGACCTTTTTATTAAACAAGTTTTTTCAATGTCCAAGCTCGGCCTATTTTACGAAATATATTAAGTTCGGTCTGGCCTGACGTAGGCCGAGCCGAAGGCCCATGTAGGCTAGCCCGGCTCAGTTTCACCCCTACTTGTAGTACACTTTCATTGCAGTAAGCACTTTCAAATGACAAGACACTTTCATTGTAGTATGCACTTTCAAATGACAAGACATTTCTCACGGAGTCACGGTTTAATTTTAGTCGAGGCTAAAAAATTTGACATATTAATTTATTAAAATATTTTTATAATTATAAGAATTTATTAAGAAAAAATTTACTTAAAATTTCAAAATAATAGGATTGATGTTATTTTAACAAATAATAAATATTTATTTAAAACTTAAAATATAATATAAAATTAAATTAGTAAAGAAAGTGCAAATTATGTGTATATATACATATATGAAATTTTCATGTGATTTTTATGAATATTTTTCATGAATATTATTTCATGTGATGTTAATGAAAATTTATTTCATGTGATCTTTGTGAATAATTTTTTTTATCTTTTATCTTTTAATTAGGTTTGGTCTATATACTTTAGTTTGCAACTTCGTAGCCTTACAAGTCGTATTAGGTTTTTTAGTTTTTTATAATAGGTCAAGCCAGACCTATAAATCAAACATTTAATAGGCTAATATATGCTATAAGTATTTTACATAGATTTAGGCTATCAAAACTAAAGTCTGGCCTAACTTGACCCATTTATACCTCTAGCCGTAATCTGTGAAGAACATCAACGTAGAGGGACTAAATTCTTCACAATTAAAAAAAAATATGGAACAATTAGCGAAAAATGTCTAAAATCATTTAAATGTCATTTGATCCACATAAATCATTTAATCAATGTTTAGATATTTTAAAAATTTTAAAAATACAATTAAAACAAAGAAGTTGTAAATGAATATGTACATGAAAGGAAATTTTCATACTTCATATATATATATCTTCATTGATTTTTCTCTTTAACAGTTTTCACTGATTAATCGCTAAAATTCTCATTCTTGTTGTGAAATCAAATACAAATAACACCAAGAAATAATTCAATTCCATTACCAATAGCAATTATAAGCTCTATATTAAAATAATTTATTTTTAAAAAGGTAAACGTAAATAACACTCTATTTTTCAAAAGATATAAAATCAATAAATACAATCATACAAAAAAAAAAGTTGTAAATAACAAAAGGGAAAAAAAATTCACTAATGTTAGAAACACCTAATAAACAATTATACTCAGCAAAAATTTGGATGTCAAAGAAGAAATTGTCGATAGTAGCATTAGATGAGGTAAATGTAGTAAAAGAAGTGCAGCGACAAAAAATGCATCATTGGGCCGGGTATCGTCATTAATCAGCTTAGGAATCGATTCTTAATATTAACACTAAAATTTTGGAAAATCAGTACAATACAAACGAGGTTTATAATTTGTAATAGGAAAATTATTGGGGTTATAAAGAGAAAGTTTTTAAATGAGTTTGTATAATCAATTTTAATCTCACCGCAAAGTGTCATACTCAATCAAGCATAATCTCAAAACACAGTGAAAATTTGAGTTCAAGTGCACCTTATATTGACTGGTCATTTATATGCCATCCTTTATTACCATCCTTTATTATTTTTCCGTGTACACATTTGTAGCTTGTTAGGAATCCAAGAAGTTTCACTGTCAATATTTGTACATTTTTTGTACAATTCGACCATTATAGTAGTTTACTTTCCTATTTAAGTTATACAGCCATGATCTATTATGAAAACAACAAACTGAAATAATTATCACAGTTAATAACATAAAATATTGTCCATATCAAAACAGTAAAACGAATTAATCATTGCAATTAATAATATCATCCATATAACAAATAAATATGAAGGCAATTAAAACAAAAAATTCGTGTTCTAGATGAAACATGAGGGGCCCGTGGTCAAAAGCACCGTTGCAAGTTTTAGAATTGAAAAATATGTCTATCATGTTATATTAGATAAAATTATCTTGTTCGTACATAAAAAATAGATAAGATTCACTTTTTTATATATATATCTCTATTTTCTCTAGTGGATCCTACTTTTTTATGTGTTATATAATATAAAATTAGGGTTTTATGAGTATAATATTGTAGGATATAAGAAAATTTTCACTTTTTTTTATTGTGTGTGTAGGAAAGTTTTATTGGGTTATGTAACATGATACTAATAAAACCCATAAAATTATCTCATACAATGTTATAAATATATTCTCCGGTTTTTTCACCATTTTGTCCCTTATTAATTAATTAATAATCATTTTTCCCCTGATTTTTTTCGACTACCTTGCATTTTTAGTCGATTATATAATATAAAATTTTTTAATCGATTAAGTAGGGAGATTTAGTCGATTAAATCTCTCAACAACTATTTAGTCGATTAAAAATTCAAGTTAGTCGATTAAAGATGAGCAGATTAGTAGATATATTAATATTATTCAAAATGATCAAATAGCCTATATTCCCCACTACAATTTTACTAAAAATAGTTAGCTGAAAGTTCCTAGAAGCACGTGTCTGAAGTCAAGTCAAGTGTGTGTGTTTTGGACTTTTAAAGTAAGGGTTGAATATTGAGATAAAATTATCTCTTCTACATTAAATATGTGAGGTTTATACTTTATATATAGAGTAAACCTACTATCATGTAACATAATCTAAAGCATTTTTTCTACTCAAACAAAAATCATGTGGGTCTCATACATATAATAAAAATAAAAAATGCTGATACGGAAACGAATGGGTGAGTAGGTTAAAAAATTTATATCATGTTAGGTAATATTAGTTTTCCCCTTATATATATATAAATTTATCTTGCCAAACATAAAAATATATTATATATAGAGGTAGGATTCTTTGACACGGGTGTTAAATTTAAAATTTGACATCTCATATGAGAGCCGTTAGATCAAAAAATATCAACGACTCTGATTTGTAAGTATGTGATACCATTGATATTTTTTGATCTAACGGCTCTCATATGAGGTGTCAAAGAATCTTACCTCATATATATAATATAATTTTATTTTGCCAAACATCAAACCGTTAAATTAAAACGAATCAAACAATTGTTTAAAGAAAAAAAAAAAAACGAATCAAACAACGTAAAAGTGGTTGGCTGCTAAACATTGAACAACCTCAGCAGACAGCAGTAGTAGCAAATAATACCACCATTTTAGTCAAAATCGCAAACCCTCTCTCTCTCTCTCACACACACACACACATGTTCAAACTCTAACCAATCCCTTCACTCTCAGAACCATAATTCCCAATGTCCCTTCTTTTCTATCTCCTCCTTCCCATCCTCATCCTAACTTTCCCAACCCCTTCCCTCACCCAAAACGCCACCGTTTCATGTCCCCTCAACATCACCGTCCTCACCGTCGTGGGCGGCGGTTCCAAACCCTCCTTCGACTCCGGAACACAGTGCCATTACATCCTCCAAGCACTCCATCTCCTCCAGGCCGATTACCTCCGCCGCACCGGCCTCTTCGTCCCTCCTCTCAACTCCTCCGAATCATGCTGGAACACTTTCCAATCCTTCATCGACCAATACGTACCAAACTTCGATATTCGCTCCTCCTGTGGCCTTCAAACCTCTTGGATCTCTCAGGGTTGCATGAACATCACGACCCTACAACAATTCGAAGCTTTTGTTCCCACCGCAGCACTTCAAGGCGTTCAAGGAAACTGTAACCAATCGCTTCAGAACAACGCGCCCTGCGCTCTCTGCACCACCAAGTTGTCAAGTTTATTATCCTACTTGACAGGAACAAGCGTTGGGAACGTTTCTGATTGCAGAGCTTATACCGCTATTTACGCCGCTTCTCTCTCCGGTCAATATGGACCCACTGACCCTGGAACCGCTCAGTGCTTGTTCGGGCTTGATTTTTCGTCTTCGGGTTCTAATCATAAGGTCGTTACTGTTGTTGTTTCGGTTATTTGTGTTTTCGGTTTATTAGTATTTGTTGGGGTTTGGGCTTATTGGAGATTGAAGCATAACAAGATTATGAGGGAGAATGGTATTATTGGTAATAGTAGGACTGAGATGGCTTTGGCTTCTGGGTTGGATTCGATTAACCAGAGCACTACTTTGATTAGGTTCACGTTTGATGATATTAGGAAGGCAACTAGGAACTTTTCAAGGGATAATATAATTGGGAGTGGGGGTTATGGGAATGTTTATAAAGGGGTTTTGATGGATGGTAGTCGAGTTGCAATGAAAAGGTTCAAGAATTGTTCTGTTGCTGGGGATGCAAATTTCACTCATGAAGTGGAGGTTATTGCAAGTGTTAGGCATGTGAATCTTGTTGCCCTGAGAGGTTATTGTACCGCAACTACTAATTTGGAAGGTCACCAGAGGATTATTGTTACTGACTTGATGGAAAATGGGAGTCTTTATGATCATTTATTTGGTTCTTCAAAGAAGAAACTCAGTTGGCCAATTCGACAACAGATTGCTCTAGGCACGGCTAGGGGTTTGGCTTATTTGCATTATGGGGCTCAACCTTCCATCATTCATAGGGATATTAAAGCTAGTAACATACTTCTTGATGAGAAGTTTGAAGCCAAGGTAGCTGATTTTGGGCTAGCAAAGTTTAACCCTGAGGGAATGACACATATGAGCACTAGAGTAGCTGGCACTATGGGGTATGTTGCACCTGAGTATGCTTTGTATGGGCAATTGACAGAGAGAAGTGATGTCTTTAGTTTTGGTGTTTTGCTTCTTGAGCTCTTGAGTGGGAAAAAAGCTCTTGAAACGGACCATGATGGCCAACCCTCTGCTCTCACTGACATGGCTTGGTCATTAGTTAGAAACACTAGAGCTTTGGATGTTATTGAAGATGATATGCCAGAACCTGGTCCCCAACAAGTTCTTGAGAAGTATGTGTTGGTTGCTGTACTATGTTCACATCCACAGTTACATGCTAGGCCAACAATGGACCAGGTTGTAAAAATGCTGGAGACAGATGAATCAGTACCCTCAATACTTGAACGGCCAATTCCTTTTATTGCAGGGAGGATTGATATTGAGAAATCTGCCAGTAACTCGGGTCAGCTTTGCAGTCCAACCGGTTATCAAGCATATACATTAGGAAGTCACCGTACTTCTCATTCTAAGGAAGAAGAAGGAAGCTCGGGATCCGGGACTATGAGCACAGATTGAGATTGAGATTGGAGGAATTGAATTTTCTTCCAGTAGCTAGTGTCAGCATGATTTGTTTGTACATTTAGATTTTAGAATGTATGTTTCCTGATGCATTTTCTGTTGTAAAGTCATAAAGGGTGCACAAAATTTGATTATTTGAGTCTATTGAAGGAGAGTAGAGTTTGAAGAAGTTTTGCTGAAACAACAGTCTCTTTGTTAAAATATGTAAAAATGTTAAGTATAAGACTGCATACACAACGCTCTCTTTGTTAAAATGTAAAAATATAAGACAAACTGCATATATAAGTTGGAGTCTTTGAGCACTGAGGTTTACACTATTAGAACTAATGTTTCATACTCAAAATCTTCAAATATAAGACATTTATGTTTCAATTTAAGCAAGCGCACAGCTCAGTTAGCTCTTGTTTCTCTCCTTGTAACTCAATTTATTACTGTAACAGCGTTCAATCATGCACTAAAACACTTCAAAAAGAGATAAAGACAAATGATTAATTATATAAAGTGTAAATAAGGAAATTTTCGGGTTAATCCAGGCAGCCTCTGTTTATGATGTTTGATTGGATTATTCTAATTCTTGATAACTTGCCCAGCTGGCTTTTGTTTCCTTGTACAACGGAACCTGAAATACCAGCATCATACCATAAGAATAAAAGAGTTGGCAAGGATATTAATATTATCAGACAAATATACAGATTCCCTTGTTTAAATACAGGATAACAATAAGTGGCGTTAACATAAATTAATGCATTATTTGCTAGACAATATAGGCAACAGGCTGAATGTAATAAATTATTCAAAAGCTTCTTGATATTTTGGAGCTTTAATCGGTGAAATATAACATAATTGACGATGACAACATAATAATTTGGGTGCGTGTGACTGTACAAAACAAATTAAAAATAAAAGACCCTATTATTAATCTATTATTACAGCTGTTATGTCTTGTATCATTGTGTGATTTATTTAATTCTTAAATTTTAGTTCATTAACATCGTAAAATATTTTAAAAATAAATGTACGTTGCAATTTCATTTTTGAAAAAAAAAAAAAAAAAAACTTTCTTCTTGAGCTGTTAATCCATTCTATATTCTATTTCATTTGCAAAAAAAATTTGTGCCAAGATCAATCTCAAACAAATTTCAAAGGGAATTAGCAGTTGAAAAGTCAACAAACTGATGACCATATTGTTACAGGAAATATAAGCCTCGTGTTATAAGAGATTTATTATTTCATGTCATAAACATAAAATATATAAGGCATGTTCTTAAAAAATAAATAAAAAAAATATCAATCATTTTTAATGTACCAATAGGGAAATATATTATCTCAATATCTCATATAACATCAGAAAAACATATTCATTATAAGCATCATCTTCTTCAGCAAAGACAGATAAGTAGTAATGAAGGTCCTTCGTCGTAAAATAAAGTACTATAGAATTTTCAACTTCTTGTGGGCTGCGCTTTATAGTGAATTTGGACCTTGGCCTTTATATATATATATATATATTTCTCATGCTGCCGGAGATAATTTTATCTCCGACTAATAAATCATAATTGTGCAAAGATGGATCAATGGTAATAAAGAAAGAGAGAGAAAAAGAGAATTATAATCATTCAAAGGTGAATCAATTAATATAAGAAAATAAATAAAAAAAGCGACGTAGTTTAGAGTGGCCGGAGATAAACTTATCTCAAGTGAAAAATATTTTTCCTATATATATATATATATATATATATATATATATATATATATATATATATAGGGTTTTATAAGAGTTATGTTGTAGGAAAAATGATTGTGTTATGTTATAGAGATTCGTTTTGCGTGCCAGAGTTTTTTTTTTTTTTTTTGGTTTCAAAAATTTTGGGTCCCACAAAATGTTATGTGTGTAGGAAAATTGTTGTGGTCATGTTAAATGATAGATGCAAAACCCATATATATATATATATATATGAGAAAAGTGATATTTACAAACTCTTACAAACTATAATATATCTGACCGGTCATACTTCAATCAAGAGTGCATGACCGATCAAACTTAATATAATTTGTAAAAAAAATTTGTAAAGAGATCATTATCCTGTATACATAGAACTGTAGCTTGTGCTACTGGGTCTCTTGCGCGTCGCCCTTTCCTTGCACTACTACGTCTACAGTAAAGGCAGGCGCATCCCACCCAAACCAGTTTGAACATTTTGTGGAAAATATTTAGATAATCAGATGCAGTACCTTAAACTTCGTTATTTTGTGTCTATAACAACCTAGCGTTATAATGGTAATTAAGCTTAAGACAATTTGAAACAAACGAAGGAAGTCAGGTTAACTTAGTGATTCCTTTTGCTCTCTGCATTCTTTATTCGTATTTGTTGTAAATAGTAATTCTGTAGTCATTTATTAGTAATTATGTAGTCATTTATTTGTATTTATTTAGTCCGTTACTTGTATATTGGGCCAAGCCCATTAGGTCAAAATTAGGTCAAGAAGTCTCTATAAATAGAGACCCCTATGTACAGATTCAAATACAAAATGAATAATATTTCATAACCCTTTTTCAAGTTGGTATCAGAGCTCTCGATCCTGAGGGCTCTGCTTCCGCGCCTATTGTCTTTTTTTTTTTTTACAAAACCCTAATTTCTTTGCCTCTTGCCGCCATCAGCCGCCACCGGAAAAATTTTTCCGGAGACCTTTTGGACCAAGGGGATCACTGTTGACCTTCTTTTTTTTTCGTTCTATCATTCTACGCAACGTTCCTCCGCCACAAACGACCCAAACACCTCCGACCGCCTTCAACCAGTTCTGTCTTCACCGTTTAGAACCCTTTCCGGTGACTTTTCAACCGCAACCACCCGCAGCCAGGTGCGCGCTCACCGGACGACCACACTGGAAAAATTTCAGCCGGAGAAGCCTTGCCACGCGCTCTCACGCGCCGCCTCTTTGTCCGAGAGTGAGGCCCACACGCAGCTGCTTTCTCCGGCGCGTGGAGGCGCGTCCAACGGTGTTTCTGGACCGGACCACCACCATTCTTCTCGTCTCCTTGTTCTCTTTCTGGATCTGTGTTGTTTTCTCAGATCGGACATCGTTTGATATTTTTTCCGAATTTTTTGGCTTCTTAAAGCCTTTTTCGTTGACTGTTTTTTGTGAAGTATGGCCTCTTCTCAAAGGAGTTCCTTTACAAAGTTTTATGATGGTGCATCTTATAAACCTAAGAGAGATGATCGATGGTGTTCTTATTGTAAAAGAACAGGTCATATCAAGGATTTATGCTTTCGCCTCCATGGAAAGCAAACTGTCTTAGAAAAGATGGCAATGATGCGTGGTCAAGCGCATTTTACTTCCTTTGGAATAACTCCTGCACCTAATGAGACCCAACCTGCATTTCGTCTAGATGAGTTAGAACGGCTCCGAACCATCCTTGATTATCTGAGTAAGCCATCTGATACTAATGCTTTGGCTTTGACTGGTATGAGCCCCAAAACTCATTCTTTCCTTTCTTCATGTAATGATTTTAAACATTCCTGGGTTGTTGATTCTGGTGCTACTGATCATATGGCTTGTTGTGCTGACTCCTTTGCTTCTTATCATCCTACCATTGGAACTCATACTATAGCCATAGTTGATGGCTCACATACATCAGTTGCGGGTTCTGGTGACATAAACTTACAGCAGTCCTTACATCTTAAAGATGCTCTTCATGTTCCTAAACTCTCCACGAATCTTCTTTCTATTCATAAAATTACAAAAGATCTGAATTGTACTGTAACCTTCTTCCCTACCCATTGTGTTTTTCAGGATCTCGCCACGGGGAAGACGATTGGTAGTGCTAAAGAGCAAGGTGGGCTGTACTATCTGGTGTCACAATCTCCCGCAAATAAAGTAACAGATCACATCTTGATGTCTCATGGTCAATCAACTGCTGATTCTTTGATTTGGCTTCATCATAAGCGCTTGGGACATCCTCCATTTGGTTTACTCAAGTCTTTATTTCCGTCATTGTTTTTATCTAAGCCTGTTGAGTCTTTTCATTGTGATGTTTGTGAGTTTGCTAAGCATCATCGTGTGTCTTTTCCTTCTAGTAGTACTAAGAGTGTTGAACCTTTTGATCTTATTCATTCTGATGTTTGGGGTCCTTCTAAAGTCCCTCATGCTTCTGGAAATAGATGGTTTGTTTCTTTTATTGATGATTGCACTCGTGTAACTTGGGTTTACTTAATGCATGAAAAGTCTGAGGTACCACATCTGTTCTTTCAATTTTATAAAATGGTTGAGACCCAATTTGGTAGAAAAATCAAGAGACTAAGAACAGATAATGGTACTGAATATGTTAATCACAGTTTTTCCCAATTTATACGAAATCAAGGTATGATTCATGAACTTACTTGTGTAGACACCCCTCAACAAAATGGGGTTGCTGAAAGAAAAAATCGTCACCTTCTTGAAGTTGCTCGTGCCTTACTGTTTCAAACACATGTACCCAAATGCTATTGGGGAGATGTCATTCTTACTGCAGCGTTCTTGATCAACCGTCTACCCACTCGGGTTCTCGATCATGTAAGTCTTATTCACTCCATGACTTCTTTTTTTCCTTCAGTTCCAACTTTGCAAAGTCTTCCTCCTCGAGTGTTTGGGTGTGTTGTTTTTGTTCATATTCATAAACAGCATCGCAGTAAGTTGGATCCTAGGGCTCTTAAATGTGTCTTCCTTGGATATGCTCCTGATAAGAAGGGCTACAAGTGTTATCACCCTGGTAGTCGGAAATTTTTTGTTTCTATGGATGTTACATTTCAGGAATCTGAGTCATTTTTCCAAGGTCCTCATCTTTAGAGGGAGAATAATTCACTAGAAGACTCATCACCTTCCTTCTTTGAATTTGAATCTTCAGTGTCTACTCCTTCACTTGAGTCAGTGTCTCTTCCTCTTGTTCCTGTTCCCAATGTGTCTATGTCTGATCCTACTGTGACTGATCCTCCTATGACTGATACACAGCCCACATTGCCTCAGCAGCAACCTCAATCGTTTGAACCACTGGTAAGTCCTGAATCTCATATTTCTGATCATGATACTTCTGATGACTTACCCATTACTACTGATTCTGATGATTTACCCATTGCTCTTAGAAAAGGAAAAAGATCATGTCCCAAGAAATCTTGTTCCTCTTGTACTCAATACCCTATCTCCCATTTTGTTTCCTCTGCTAATCTGTCTGTGCAGCACAAAAGCTTTGTTTCAGCACTAGACTCTATTGCAATCCCAAAATCAGTACATGAAGCC